TCCCAACACATTCACCATTGTCAAATTGCATACATATGTTCTTTGGTCCTGGGTTCGATTATCTCGACCCATTCCACCCTAAAATTAAGATGTTTTAAAATGTATAATATTCTAAATCATAAATATAAATAATAGGTAGAAGGTGGGCCAATAGATATAGAAAGTCTAATACTCAGGACACACTATATAAATGGTTATTGTGGATTCAGAATTAAACAATCACTATTACCTTTCCGATGTTAATGATGTCATTTTATTGTTGAGTTTATATGGATTTCTTCTCAAACGACTGAAGTCAATGGTCTACATTGTCGCTACATTTTTATTGAATGAACTAAACCGTCCTATTCTCCTAAATCCTATAGTCTACACTGGAAGTCGGAAAATTTGTTTTTTACATTTTGATAATATTATATACATATATCTCTATAAAAAAATTCGGCCATCTAGTACCAACACCATCTGATCTGCGGTAAATGTATTGAAGATATGTACAACGTCTTTGGAATTCAAGGTTTTATTATAGCGGGAAATTTAATAAGTTGTGTAGAAGACCCGCTGCTGTTTCAGGCTGCTACAATAATAATATAATATGAATACTTATAATTTATGATCGTGACAAAAGCACCCTCAGAAATTTTCTCCGTGGGGGGGGGGGCGGTGACGAGGTGTATATTATACATAATATATTTATATATAGCCGTTTATATATTAGGTACAGTATTTTATACGGTAATAATTTTCTTTATTCAGTACATAACTTATTACAAACTTAGTAAAAAAACTGATGATATCATAATAATATGATTAACTATTTATGTTTATCAAAATATTATATGAAATATCAAGAGACTGAAAAAAAATCTTGTAACTCATTATTTATATTATATTAACTAGCTGATCACGTGCACTACGTTACCCGTTAAATGTACCAACTCTATATGACTCAAACTTTGTTCAATTCGTTATTTAATATTCGGTGTATGGTGTTCAAAATTCATCTTAACTTTTCCGTTTCCCAGTTTAAATATTCTGATTCACTACAGTATATTATCGGGTAGGCAATCTACCTGCGGTAGATCGCGGACCCCGTGCTGTTTGTACGTAACTTTATAATTTAACTCTAAAGTATCAAAGTTATACCAAGTAGGTATGTCACTGAACTCCTCTGTTTAATTACGTAACTTATAATACGCTCAATATTTACGTAATTGAGATACATATACAGTGTCGGCCTGGCCATGGTTAGGTTAGGTTTGGTTAGGTTGAAACGAATGCGGCCCCCCCTCCGATTTTTTTAGGGTCTCGTACAAGTTTAATACAATCCATTATTCATTGACCCACTTGTAATCTACTGTACAGCAGAGCGAAATCCACTTAGCAGCTTTTTTTTTATTTGTTTGGCGTGTGCCTGGTCTATAAGTATAGGAAGTAAGCACCCCGTAAAGTATTTGTCAATATATTTAACAGTACGCAATTTTTCTTTACAGGGCCCAGATGCTTACCAATTATTATAGTGTGAGCAGGGCACTATAAATTATAATAGTACAAGTTTCAAGTAATAAATAGGAGGAGGTTTTTTTGGATTAATTGTGCTATAGGTATACTGTAAGGTTTTATATCTCTCCTTAAAAACAATGGGCTCAGGCGAGGCCACGGGGGCCCCGCTCACCCACACTGCAGCGGCACCACTGTTGGATTCATCGATCATGAATATGTTGCATACAAAAATATGTATGATTTATAGTACTATACATCTCCTTATTCCTATATGACGTATATATAATTAAATATTAAACAATGATAAAGATTTTACATTTACTTTTGAAAGTCTACGTGAATAATATAATTATGCATAGGTGATAGGTCTATAGCTTATCGATTTGTCTTCAAAGTTAAAATTCTAAAGGCATTATAAATATAATTTTGGTTTTCGTAATTTTGTTTCTATGTAATAGTTATTATTTATTATTTTGCAGTTTAAAATATTTCAATAATTTCATAGTTTATTGATTATTCCCCGCTTTGCGTTAATATTATATACGTAGTGACTTTCTAAGTACCTATAATCGCTCTATTTTTTACTTGAAATTGTTATACCATTTAAGAATGATGTTGTTACAATAAAAACTTCTGTTTTTAAAATAGATATCCTCTTTTTTTAATTTTAACAAAGTACAATAACTAATGTACATTTAAATACATCTACATTTACAAGAACATTATCTGCTTAAATAATTTGCAGTAAAAAAGTAGATTCTCATTTGAAAAATAGAAGTTTGTATAGCCACAGGACACTATAATATTAGTACAAAAAATAATAGGAATTTGAATATATTGTCTTTAGGTATACCTACTTAAAAATCCTATAAATCAGAATTCGAATAAATATATTTTTAAAGGAAAAAAGGTAATGGGCATTTTTTCTATAAAATGTCAAGTAAATTTTGTATTTCATGATCCCTCCACTTTCTATCATTTACATTATCCATCCCTCCACTTTTTTCGTCGAAAATAATGTATCTCCTTTATTATAATACACAAATATTATCGATGTGTAGTGGTGTTTTTCATAAAAATTGTATTTTTACCGTGGTTTTTTTTAATTAGTTTCACAATAATACAATGAATAATGATTTTCATTAATATTATAAAATATAAGTATTATTACTTTTTTATTAATATTATAAATAAGTAATTGTAATAATTACTATTGTTTAGGTTAGGTACCTGTTTGTTTGCTTGTTTAAATTGGGACTCGTTTAATATGACAATACTAGATCAAAAAAATGTAAACGTCATTTTTTACAATTTTACGTTTATAATATAATATATTAGTTTAGATCTAGGACGTTAGGAGTTTGAATGTTTTTCAATAATCATTCAAAACATAAATAGGTTCGTGTTATATAAATTTGTTTATAATCAAAACATACATCATAATACTAGAAGTTGAATGCAATATTTTAGATTCTGAGTAGAACGATGAATGTATTGATTTTACAATGATGCGTGTTCTTTTTTATTTTTTTTGTTTCTATCATCACGTTTTAGGACAATAAAAGTGCTTGGATTTTCTTCAACAGTAGCTTTTCTGATAGTAATATAAAGATATAAAGTGAATCTGGTTGGTACTTAGGGGGGTCAAAAGAGAAAGTAGTTTTCAAAAGCGGCTTGAAAAACAAGATAAAAATTAAGGAAAAATGGGAATTTTTACACTAAAATCTGTTTTCGAAAAAATCGATTTTGGTTTTTGTGCAACTCTTGAACAAATGACCGTAGGTACA